TTTTTGGAGGAAGCGGTAGGGTGTGCCCCGGATAATTACCCCCCTCACCCCCCCCCCCCCCCCCCTGTTTTGTTTTGGGCTATCTGTTGTTGAATTGGGTGGTATTGCTCACCCTCTCTCCGCGTGCTTGCGGCCCCCCCAACCCTTGGGGTTTCCTGGGCTTGGCAGGGTACGTGGCAACCCCGATCATTTTTTTGGCCGTGGCCCGGTGTCTTCTGGAAGAGAGATCGTCGTTGCCAGTCAGGTGATGTGATGATCGCACAAGTGCCAATGTGCCGAGCTTATCGTGGCGAGAGGACAAGAGTAGTACTGCTGTACCGATGCTTTGCGATAAACAAACGCGTTTTACACCCTCTGTACCCGCTGCTATCACTACTTTGTTGGTGCTATTGACCGCCGGGTCGATGCCTCATTTGAAGCGGGTCAACCCCCTCCCCCAATGTTGAAAATCTGACCGAAGGCGTCCTGCCTGCCGCACTCACGATGGTACGATGATGTTGTAGCACGACCCAAACCCATTCCCAGGCCCTCTGACTCCAATCTGATGGCCCTTCTGCCGTGCGGGTGGAGTCAGCATCTCCCATGACCACGAGCAACTGTAAATTTCCTAAGGGCGGTAGTAACGAAGCACCTCCCGACCGGGTCATCATGTTACATTGCGGAAGATTTTACTCGACATGCTGACATTCTGGATCGTGATCCCCTCCCCCCCCCTGTTTCCCTGCTACTGCTGTGCCTTCCTGCCTCAACTGCGGTGCCCCCAGCGGGGGAGTCCATACCCCGGGCTCTGTGTTGGTGAGCTCCTCCCTTGTGGACCGGCTGGGGAAAGACGGTGTTACCTTCGAGGTAGTGGGCTAGGGTATGTAAAAGCGAAGTGGCACTCAGTGGTAGGGCGCGGAAAACGTTCGTCCGTCGGGTGGTGCTGCACGCCGCGGCCGTACATTTTTTTCGCGTTGCTTGCTGTAGGCGCGCATTCTCTACGTGAGAGCCGGGCGGGGTGTACAGTAGTAGTGTTGTGACTGGTGTTGGGTTCTTCTACGTAGAGCTGAGGGAAGAAAACGCTATTACTTCGTCACGTTCATCCAACGTGGGGGGGGGGGTCAGGCCAAATGGGGGTTTGTGAACGCCCTGGCCATTGCTGAACATCGGCAAAAACGCGCAAGAGGGCTCCGCGTTCAAAGGTCTTGTGGGAGGCAGGCGTTCGTATTGGTTGATAATCCCACTTCTGTTCGTTATGTTGTTCCAAGAGAGATAGTGGACAGCGGGCGCGTAACGTTCTTCGTGATGAGGGCAGCGGTAGAGGTATTCCAATCCCTGACGCACGTACGTGGGAGCAAAGGGTCTCGAAGTTAAGACCGGTGTTGTTGCCTTTACATAGGATGAGTACTAAGAGGGTCAGTCTTGAGCTTTTAGCTGGAGGCGGGCCGGCCGTAAAGAACCACCAGCCAAGGGTTTAGTCGCTGTTAAGCACGGGAAAGATTAAGCTTGTCGTGTCTACCCTTGCGGGGGGGTTTCAGAGTTGGGCGATCATGTACACCCCAGAGCTGGCATCGAAAGCAAGAGCAACGCGGCCCAGTATGCATACAACAGCATGGACGTGTTGTCGTGTTGTGTTGTACTTGGAGGTGGAGAACGGCACAGGCATGCCCCAGGTTTCCAGCCCTCTGCCTCAGATACGCTACGCCACGGGAATCACGCCACTATACCCTGGCCAAGGTAGGTGGGTGCTTCGCCGGTGTACCTTCCTGGGAAGGTCCTAGGCAGGCTCTGAACCGCTCACTGGCACGTTGTTGCTTGGTGCCAGTTCAGCGGGCGCCTTCGATGGCTGGCTGCGGCAGGCAATGCCATGTCGTCCGCAGCACACACGCGAGGGCTCAATCACAATCACCCCCGTCACGCCAAACTGAAAACCTCTCGGCATCTCCACAACGCGGTGTGCGTAGTCAATACAGGCGGGCCGGGTGTGTGTGGATGGATCGCTTTGGTCAACCGATTGCTCGCAGAGAATGTCTTTACCAGACAACCGCGGGCTGGAGGGGCTCCGTTCTCTGATCGAACCAACCACCTCACTCCAACGCCCGATCAACAGCCGTTCGGCCGCAAAACAACCACATTGATTGGACTCTCAAACGAAAGCGAAGCGAGGAAAGGGAACGTCAACATTATCGTTACACGCGTGCCGTCAGCTGTTCAGACGCGTGCTTAAAGCTCAAAAATGGCGTATGCCGACCGAAACGACCTATTACCCCCACCTCCAACGGTTTCAAAAGTTACAGGCAGGGAAGTTTGTCCTACGCCGGACAATCAACATCAACACTCGGCGACATCCTAGCACAGAGAAGCCCACCGCAAAAACCGCGCCAAAAATCATTGAACGGCCGCGACACTCTGGCGAGAAAAAGAACCAAATGGAGCATAGTGCCGTTGCGTAACCCCATGCAAGCTACCACAAAAGGGGGCGAGGCCATCAAACCATCCTTCCATCACACACCGGACGGGGGGCGGGCGGAAAAGACCCACCGTGCGGAACCCCTCAAAGCAAACAACACGCACAGCAGCAGCAGCAGCAGCAGCAGTGAAGTGAGAGAAATCCAGTACAGCACCCGTGCTACAACGATCCGCGTGCAAAATCGTTGCAATCGTTGCACTGCTGAACGCGGTCGTTAGTGTTCCGCGCTTGGGGGCCAGGCATGTGCAAGACGCGATACACCCCAAACAGCGTTCCAACTCTACGCGCCGACGGTGCTCCACGAGCCGCACTCACGCCACGACAATATACCGGCACGTGGTAAAAGCCGTGGCATAGACTTCCCACAAAAAAAAGAAAAACGCACCATCTACTCTAGCCCAGAAAAAGGGCAAAAAGGTCGGCGGACGCACACACCGGGGGAATCGTCCGCGCCGTCCGCTCCCCCAAATTTTACATGCGTACGAGACACCATAGCCGCTCTTTGCCGCAACCCAAAAGCACGGCAGTCGTGATTAAACTTGGCCAGTAACAACAAAACCGAACAAGCACACCGAGCATTGAACCGGCGGGTCATCTTTATCTATAAGTCGGCCAGATCGCGGATGGTTAATACAGCAAACGGGGCAGCGCTTCAATCTTCTCGCCCAGCACGCGCACGCCCCCGTTTAGAGGCCGGTGTACGGGAAGTCGCCGCCGTTGAGAACCGCCTGCGTGGCGATGCCACCGATGGCGGACATCGCCAAACGGCAGTGCTGGATCTCGTTGAGCTCGTATCTTGCCTTCTTGGCGGGGTTCGAGGTGAGGTTCAACGGGTCCAACCCGAAGTCTCCTGCGGTAAGTTATGCACCATGCGGGACGAACCGTGGGAAAAAGCAGCCAGGGAGAATGGGGCATGGGGCAAGCAACGGACGGGGGGGGGAAGTGAGCAAGGAACAGCGACGGTGTCAAGCACGTCAAGGGAGTGTCAGGAAAAAGGGCACGCCACTCGGCGTCTGCTAGCGGCCCGGCCAAGGGAGAAAAAACGAAAAAATAACCGAACAACAACGCTGCAGTTCCCATTGTGTAACACGGCACCAATCACAAGGTATAATTGAGACATTGTCACGGTCTAAACGCCTTTCTCCATCTACATGTGTTTTGTCGGGGGGCAGAGTCGCCGCTGGTAGCCCTGCGGACGGTGCGCGGGGTTTGTTGTGGGCGTCTACGCGCCTAGTACGCCGCGAACCGAAACCCCAAGACAGACTGCACAGTCAAACACAAACGCAAGCAACAGCCAAAATCTCTCTTCAAGTCAGCCAACACCTGCCCTTCCCTTCCTCTCCGAGACACGAAGGCGAGTCGACGGTGGCAGGCAACCACCTCTACAGCGCTCTTCGCAGACGCTCGCAAAAAAAACAAAAAAAAACGGACCTGGCTGACGGCCTGACCCGCTGGCTGCGCCGAAAATAGCGGCACCCCCAACCATCTCCAGGAGAAACACAACCAACAGCAGGAGGGTCATGTTGCCCGACGCGACCATGGGGTCGTGCGCACCGACGGACTGTGAGATCGCGGCGTACTGGTCCCCGGGGAAGCGGACGCCCTGGTCAACCAAGATCCACCCGACCACTTCGCAGCACAGAAAAGAAGAAGCGGAGCACGTTCGCAACAAGCAGATACATAAGAAGACGCACGGGCGGAATGACAAAGACCGAGTTCTAGTGCCGCCCGTTTGGGACCCTTTTCGGGGCGTGCGAGTACTTGCTGTTGACCGCGCGCAGAACATCACGATTGTGTAGTCGTTGCGATTTCTTGGCTGTTGTCTCAAGGTTGCGAGCGGTGCGGAGGGTACCGCAGAGGAAGCCTCCCATGCACGCATCATGTGAATCAAGTCTGTACCCAAAGGTACTTGTTTTGTATGAGAACCAGAGTGGTTGCCTTTCAGAAGAAATGTTCTTTTTCCTGCTCCCTCCGCTGGACATGGAAAAAAATGCCAACGGTTTTGGTCCGTTTCATCATGGCACACGGCATTCGCTACGCGGCCACTTGGCGTCCCGATTATTTCACCATGGTCTGTCTGACCCATGGCGTTAGCTTTCTAATGCTTGGTGTGTCAGACCTAGCTAAGCGTTCGGCTTGAGAGGCCCTGGGTAGTGGATGCTGTATGAGACCAAACACGACCCGAACACATGGAATAGCGCACCCCGCGTGTGGCAGTCTACTTGTAGAGGCAACGCAATGCCCCACATACACTTACGTGTGCTACGGGGGGATCCGTCCCCTGCTACGTGATTCTGCAAAGTGACCACGTCAAAACAGAGGGCTCAAGAATGAATGTACGTACAAAACTACAGCAGTAGATGAGGGGGTGTGCACACGCATCCAAGAGGCCACCGTTCTGCTCTGACGCTGCCGCGAAAGTCAACAACCAAAAGGGGGAATTATCGGTGACGTTTTCGTTCTCTCCTGCACGGTGTATAGCCGAGGCAAAAGGCGGCAGGCTGTCCAGCATGGAAACTTCAAAGAGATTTCGCTGGTGGGGTGTGGTGTCGAGTTCAAGATTGACCCGTCCAACGAGAATGATACTTCGTATGTATAATAGTATGAAAGTAAGAGGTTGCACGCCCGATACTTGCAGCTTAAACTACTATGCTATGGCCGAATCTCAAGCATGTTCGACAGCAGCGCAGGACAACAAATCCTCCATGTGCTGGTGTAAGGTTTCCCGTACTCCCACGCACCAGCCGCAACTACTCAGCAGCAATGACGGTGGCTCGGCAACCACCTACCAAACACATGGTACGTATTCGTTCTAGTGCACATGGTGTACAGTAGTTCGGTTGGGACCTGCCGAACACGCCCACTCAACCGAGGGGTGACGGGGGAGGGTTGGAGATGAATTAAGGAAAAATAAATACACACACAGAAAGACTACCCATTCGATATATATGGACATGAATTGTACTGCGCGAGAGCATTGGCGGGGGATTCCGGCGTAACTAATGACAATGATCCATGTGAATGGCCGGGTCCCCGGGTCCTTTTGAGCTACTGCTCTACGGTATGGCGAACATGGTAATCCTACTGCTGTTATTAGGCTGCGTTCGCCAGGGGCAAGAGAGATGAACGCGAATTGAGCAACATTCTTACCCGCTACACGCTTTCGTTGTGCCTCCCCCCCGCCCCCCCGACAGGAAGCCATGCATCTTACCGCTCCTAAGACAGTTGGTCTTGGTTGTGTCAATTCGACCTGAAAAGCTCACTGGCACATCGAGATCGACATCCACAGCAGTTAAGTAATATTTTTTCATTACAAGTCGAAGTCGTTTACTTCGTCACAAAAACGTCTTGGCAAACAACATGGTATCCAGGCACGGAGTGTTGTGTCAACACACGAAAGCACACACACACACACACACACACACGCAACACACCTGCGAGCTGAGCGACGCGGCCGTGCTTAAGCTCCGCCTCGCGCATCCAGTAGAGGGTGTCCACCGGCGATTTGCTTGGCACTCCCTCCTCGCGCATCACGGCTGCCCCCGGTACGATGAACTGCAGAGCAAGCGGCCATGACACGACACACACGTTTCAGCAGGCGGGAGCAACAATAGATGGTCTACGTACGCGCACTGGGTACAAATGGAATGAGACAAGAGTGGATGAAGGACGGTGCGTTCTGCAGAAACCATTCTCCGGCGCTGTGGCATTATCTCGAACGGGTACAAGTCTTTCAGTGAGTACTAGTATTAATACTACAGTACAGTACAGTACCTGAAAAAAACAATTACCCCAGTAAGACACACCTGCTCAAACAAGAACAACGCGACTATTATATAATCATGCGCGGTCGATGGCGCTGCCGCAGCACAGAAAAACTGTAGAACGCAGACACAAACTTCTATTTGTTTGCCTCCAACACGTGTCTCGTGCCGACGGCACCCGCTCGGAGTCTTGCCAACGAAATCTCGCATCGAGTAAGCCGGGAGAGTGGTTGTGGGCGGTGGACGGTGGACGGTGGACGGACAATCTGTGGAAAGCGGCGGATGAAACCAAGCAAACTTACAGCTCCTGCCCACACACCGGAACATGAGGGCATGAGAGAAAAATACACCCCCCCTGCGCCGGGTTGTCAAGATTCGTCACACCTGCAATACTGCTGAAAGTAGGGAAGTGATTGATAGGCCACTGCTGTTGAGAGCGTGGAGGATTGGCCACATCCATCAACTTAGGGCCGCTGCTGCTGCTGTACATGGCTTCATACTACACCAGCTGTTTGCATACAAGGGCATTTTAGAAAAGAACTGCATGACGTGGATGATGTCATCGGGGGCGTGAGCAACAGATGGCGAGGGAAAAAAGCCTCTGAAACACCGGTGGACTATTAGGGCAAGAGGCAGCAGCTTGTAAAAGGCAAGCATACAACAAATCATCGGGGGTGCTGCTTCACATCGTGAGATGAGCTGTCCGGTCGCCGCAATGCGTGAAGTATTGCGTGAATGGCAAGAAGCCTTTTGATTGAATCGCGCGTTTGATCGAAAAAGGCCCAAGTGAGGTGAAGGGGAAACCCCCCCCCAACATGTTTGAATCGTAGCTGTCGCCAGGACGAAAAGACAGAGCGACCATTGACAGCTAACTAACTCGGAATCTGAATTTACGCCCACATGTACACACGCCTAGCGTACAGAGGAGGGTGGGCGTCCCAAACAAGACATAAGGGGAACGCACAATGGGACAAGTGGTATCGTCAACTCGCTGTCTCTTTCGAGCGTGTCATGTCCCATGTGCTGCTGCTGCCGCTGCTGAGGGAACAACGACAATGGCACATATTTCTCAAGTCCGTACTGCTGTACCTCGCTGAAGTCGATGTCGATTTTCGAGAGGCCGAGCGGGTCGAAGCCGATGTCCCCAGGCATAGTCCCGTCCAAGTTCTCCGGCTGCGGCATGAAGGGGATCGCCTTGCTGTTCGCCATGCTCAGAGCACCCGCGGGGGATCGCGCGGCGCGGTGCATGGGCATCGGCGCCGTGAAGGCACACGCGCCGCCCACGAGGGCAGCCAGAGAAGCCAAGGTAGTCTTCATAGTGTTGAGGTGCGAGAGAAGTGAGGGTGCTACGAAGTGCTTGGGTATCCACTGGAGTATTAGTTAGCGTCGAGGGTCGAGATGAGAGAGGTACACACAACAAAATCTTGGGCCTAGAGCATTGAAGAGAGATCCGCATAGCACACGAAAAACATGCAGAGTAGGGGATGGGGGACCTGATGTCTTGCGCCGTGTCGGAGGGTTCCGAAATTCCGCCGCACTTGGTCAACAATCTCTCCTCTGCTGCGCTGCTGCTCCACCTTCGGGCTTCAGGAGCACTTGGTACTCGACATGTAGCTGTACCGACTCTCTTGCTGTTCTTCGTTTACCTACCAGCATGGTACACGGTCATCATTGCTCCACCATAGCGACCGTCTTTACGTGTTTGTGCTACCAAAGTCTAGCTCGTGGTTTTGGTTCCCATTCTCCCTTTTCACCGGGATCACTTTGCTTCCTTCGAGCGCATCGTCGTCCTACATGATCATCGGGGTCCAAGCTGGGATACAAAGGTAGTTTGTGCGCCACCGGCAAAAAGTTGATCCCGTTCTACGACTTGCGGAAGGCGGGGAAGCCGCTCGGGTCAAACCCGGAGACTACATACAAATTCACGTAGTCTACACAACCATTTCGTTTTTTACGATACAAGTACAGCAGTGGGGGGCCCGGTTTAGCGACCCCTACCGTAGTGTCACGATGAAATATGGTCGCTATTCAGGACATGTCGCTAAACCGGGACCCTCAATAGCAACTAGCGGTCGCTAAACCCGGAAATAACGCCCTTTCGTGGGACTAAAGAGGCCTTGTTGCGGAAATATTCTTGACCGGGTGATGTATGCGTCGTATTGCAGCAGTCACATGAAGGTAGAGGAAAGAAGAAGCACCTTAGGGTGGACAACCGGAGAGTAGTTCCTCTACGGTATGAATTCTAATCAACCAGCAAGGTTGTTCTACCCTCCGAAGTTTGTAGGAATGTGTCATCGACAAGTGTACAGAGGGTGCCCTTTGTCTTTTTATGTTACCGCATGCAGAACAATCTGTCCCTACATGTACATAGATCACACAAAACACACACATAGAAGTCCGATCTGCGAATTATGAAAAAACAAAGGCGCAAGAGGGGAAAAAGTTATGGCAACGTCCCTCAAAACACAATAATAAAACACCCCTGCATGGCACGGAGAAAGTTCGTGAACGCCCAAGCGGCAAAGAACCTCGCGCTGCTAGTTACTTCATTCTGCTACTGTCGCGTGTTACCGATCATGTTTAACTCAACATGTCTCTGATGTCCATCTGTCGCGCTGGTTTCGCGGAGTGTGCTTCGATGAACAGCATCTTTGCCTTACCAAGATGGTACGCTACCTCGCTTAGTCTACGACTCCTCACAGTCTTCAAGCGATCCAAAATGCGACGAAAACTCCGAGTAGGGCGGCGGCGCCATCACCTCCCCACCCCCCGCACCGCCAACTTCTCCCGCCCCATCTACCTCTATTTCTCTTTTTCGTTTAGTGGATTCGAGACGGATGGGGAAGCCTACATGTTCTTGGATGCACACTCGTGGCAGGTGCGGTGCATCCCGATGCCGTCGAGAACCTCCATCTCCCCACACATCAGGTGCAGCGTCCACCGCAGCCACCATGGCAAACATGCCCCTGGGGTGCAGTTCCACATCCGGCTGTTTGCACAACTCTCTATCGGCGCACGGCACGTTGCGTGTGTGTACGTGTCCCGCGGTCTTGTGTCTTTGTGTGTGGAGGAACGCGGGGTCTCCGCAAAATTTGAACCGATGGTCGCTATTGCCCGCTGCGAACAGCCCAATAAGTCACTATTGAGGGTTCGACCGGTTTGGCGATCATGTGGTCGCTAAAACGGGGTGCAGCGGTGTCCCGAGATTCTGGGGTCGCTAAACAGGGCATGTCGCTAAACAGGGGGTCGCTAAACCGGGCCCCCCACTGTATATTGTTTTGAAGTTTTCCTTGCCGGGACTTGGGCAAAATCGTTGTTTCGCTCATGACACACCCCTTCTGTTCGAGCTGTTGTGTTTAAGCATACTGCCTCGACTTTTGCACTTGCAGCACGAGAAGACCTTCGGCACAGCTTGACCGCCCACCTTGCCCTTCGACGACCGACTACTACTTTTTCGTCCGTTGATACTGCTGTACGGGGTTTGAGAGCGCTTGGTGGCGGGTTTGACGTAATTGAGTTTTCGGTCAGGTCGGCCCATGGCCGGCCCATGGCCCGGTTATGCGTTGGCCATGGGGTCGGCCCGTGAGCGAGTCATGGGCGGGTCATGGCCCGGCCATGGCCCAGGGTCATGATTTAACCCAATGATGTTACCCACTGGCTTGGTGGCGAGGCAGGACCGATTGCTTGCGGGAAGACGACGGCAAAGACTGCGACTAATGCAACATTAACAAAACCTCCGCGACATCGCGTGCGTTCGATAGTGTGGCTGCCTTTGATATTGCCGTATTACGTGCAGGTCCGGTTCCACCCTCGCCAGGGCTCCTTCATGCTCACCGGTTCTGAGGACGGGCTCGTTCATGTGCGATCCGACGCCGACGTCTTGCTCGGGAGGATGTGAGAAACCTTCTCTGACACATGCACACTGAATTTCTCCTTTCAATATATTTTCGCTCAAAACGGGGCGAAGCTTTCTAAGTATCCACGCCGACTAGATACCAGGATGCTGTTGCCGATTTGTCGGGCCCTAGCAATATCGCCAAGATCATCCTTGACGGAACTATATCCTTACGTGACTGGGTTAATTTGAATTTTTGTTTTTTCCCCCACAACTGGCTCTCTGCGGTCAAAGATCTTCCAAGCATGCGTGTACACCCATAAATCACGGCGGCAAGGATGGTGCAGCAGTGGGTCCATGTGTGGGGCTCACAGAGACGGGGACGCGGTATATGTAAGGGTGACGAACAGGAGTACATGCTGTACAGCAGTAGCAGCTATGCGGAGAGAATTAGACTACAGCAGCAGTAGTTTCTGAGCAGGTGTGCATGCCTGTCTCCGACAGCAACCGCCCGCACAGAGGATGTACCTGTGCAAGCAATACCTGTTGGCACATCTTCTCCACCTCATCCTTGGACAGATCATACGGCAAGAGCATATGCTAGCGGCGCTAGATGCGAAGACGCTGACGGGAAACCGCCGCACAGAAGCGCCAGATCGAAAAAAACGGTCCGCTCATCAGAGAATCGAGACCATCATCCACTATCGCACAAAATGCATAAAAAACGAAATACATTTTACTATTCTGTACTACAAATAGAGAGCTGTGATCGGAGCTGTGATCGGACCTGTAGTTTCGAAAACCCTTGCCTTTGAGCGAAATTTTGCACACAGCAGACGAACCACCCTTCGCTCCCAATACTGGGAACCACACGCACCGCAATCACAACAACATCAAGCACCGAGGCAGTACGTTAGCATCGGCTCCGGTGTGCGCTTTCTCTGCTCTCCCCCGCGGATGCGGCACCGGGTTGATCACATGTTCGGGTGCTGTATATACCCTCCGGTGGTATTTGCGTTTGAATCTTACAGTACTGGTAGGCAGTAGATTGGATCTGGAAAGAAAGGATATCTGCCCCACGTCAGAGAGATTAGGCATGGGTGAATAGTATTGTACTTTGTGAGTCCTGTGCACATTTGCTGATACGCGTGCTTTTTGGGTGGGCTGCCTGTGTCTCCCTGCTGGTCTCTATGTATGTTTGTTGCTCTTGGTCGAGGCACAACGGCGATCTTTCGGCACGCAAAGTGATCGGAGCTGAGAACGGAGCTGAATCGGCCTGTAATCACGTAAGGGCTAACCACCGTAAAGATAAGAGGTAACCCACGAAGACGCCCCCCGTCCGAATTCGCCAACACTGAGAGGAAACTTATCGATCCCGTCTGTTAACTCCTTGTTGCGGTGCTTGCAGGCTCTCGACTCGGTCATGAACGCGGAGTTCCCGGTGCGCAGCGTGGGGTTCTTCGGACTGGAGGAAGAGGGGGTCCACTGCTGTACCAACACGGATACGCTGTCTTTTTGGTACGCCGCCGGAGCACAGAGGGTAAAGGACTTCGGCGACGTCGTCCGTGCTTTGGCGAGCGGAGAGCTTCCTGCTGACGCCGATGGTGGTGTTGGCGAGGGTGCTTTAGCTGCTTCTGCCCCAGGGGAGGGTGGAGGGGTAGCAGTGGCAGCATGGGCTGCAGCGGCGGCAGTGGCGGGCGATGATTGGGGTTTTGCGGTGGACTACCTAGTGGACTGCCAGGTGACAATACTGCTGCGGATCTTCTCTTCTCTTTTGTGCAAGGATGAGTGCACATTTTGCCGCGTGACGGCAGTTGTGTGATTGTAGCCACCTATTTCATCCAGGAGCCTGGCACAGCTGTGGATACCCGCGGCGATAACATCGTCGGAAATCTTGGCTCTGTAGTACTCGTCACGGTGGCCCAGGTTATTTGCCAACTAGTGCCTGTGCTCGAGCCTCAAAGAGGCAGGATTCGTTGTGTTGTTGTTTGAATTGGAGTTGTCATACAAAGTTTGTTTCCCTTACCACGCACAGAAATTCGGCGGTCTTGCGAAATTTCTGAAAAGTAAGAAAAAGAGCGAACGACGCCTGCTGATTGGATGGTGCAGACAGTTCCATCCCTGGGTGCAAGTGCAAAGCTGCCTTCCCACTTGAGCCGTCTCTTGTCTATAATCCCTATCAATTGTCCCCTCGATACGAGGGGACACGAGGGGACAATTGATAGGGATTATAGACAGCAACTGGCGGAAGCGTGGTAAACGGGGCACGAAAAGGAGGTTTTCAAGATATTTCTCTAGAGGGAAAGCGAGACCTTCTAACTCAAGCCCTAGGTTGCTTGGTGCCTCGTATCAACGGTGGTCTAGGTACTTCTTCCGCGCTTGCCCCTGGTAGTGCTTTCCACCCAAGGGTAAACAGACGCGGCGCAACTTCGCTGTTGAACCGGCGGCGTAATCGCCCCGCGATTCGACCTGTTCATTACCCTCATACTCCTCCACTCTACAAAGCATCCATACTAGACTAGAGTCGTCCCTGTGTACCCTGGCACCCCCCTGGTCGAGTAGTGCAAAGGAGGAGACAACCATGACAATCTTCGCGAGGTAAAGCAGGCGAAGAAGATGGGGACAAAAAGTGTCCCCAAAGGACGATCCAGCCCTAAAGGGGTTTTATGTTCAGTACAGTCTAATATCTGTACGGGGTCAACTGAAGCAAACGCCTTCCGTCGTCGCAGGCCAACTGCCCAAAAGAGGTTGTACACTACGTACTACAAATATCAATTACATTTGGGAAAGAACAAGGTGTTGTTTCTGGTGTTTCATTGTCAGGTGGTTGCTGCCGCCGAGTGCACAATATGCATAGCTTTGACATGTATCCCGAGGGACTAGCTCACAGCAGCGGCATAGATGAGAGCGCTAGCCCGCTGTAGTTGATGTTCATCAGTTTCCAGTTCTTGTGAACGCCAATTCTCTTTTGCGCGCGACAAACCGCATGCTCTACCCACGGAAGACGAGTTACTACCGGTCCGTGGGTCCTGTTGTTCGCATTCACGATGTTTGTGTCTTCCTTCCGTGGACGTATTCAGTACGACGCAACAGCGGATCGTCTGCGGCTAGTGACAAGCAGTGACTCAGGCGGAGCGTGCCTGGCGACTGTGTCTCCAGAAGGTAAGGTGTTTTGTGTTGGTCAAGTTGAGGTTAGTGCAGGGACGGGACAGAGGCAGTCCAAGGGCAAGGACAGGGTTGTGATCGGCGCAAACAGTAGGGCTGAGGAAAGGTTCAGTGTTCTCGTAATGAGTTGGTTCAAAGCTACGTACACTTCGGCACGCATTCGCGCGTCTGGTTTGTTGTAGTGACACGTTCGTGCCATGTTTGATTTTCGGCTACTGTAGCACCTTCTTCTCGCACAAGCATCGAAATGTTGATACATCTGGTCGGGGCCACGTCTTTCGCCACGGGCATTCGTGTTGCAAAAACTGATGTTCATCGAGTCCGTCTTGACATGTTGAGAACAAAGCCATCTCTGCCGACGTGGTAGTGCTCTGGAGCTTCTCCCCCCCCCCTCCCTCCCCCCGGTGTTTGCCATCGGGGTTGGGTTCTCATCGCTTGGCAACGACGTTGTAAAACAAGCCCCCCACTCGATGTTTGCCGTCGGCATTGAGTTTTCGTCGCTTGGCAACAACGTTGTAAAACAAGCCGATTCACTTCGTAAGCTCGGCAACCAGGTTACCCTTTTTTTTTGCCTCTGTTTGTTTTTTGCGGTAACCATGTGGTCGGGTACATCATGTTGTGCGGGGTCGAGAACCCTCGCTCCGCGCAAGGGGGATGATCGCACCACGTTATGTTAATATGGTCAAGCATCCTCGAGGCAGTTACACAGCAGTCCTTACAACTGTCTCTGGAAGTGAAAGCACCAGGAAATAACTTAAGTCATACGCAGCTGTCATCCGTACGCAAGGAAGTAAGCATAAGATGCTGAACACCCTTAGCAGGATGCAGCGCACCCGTCATGCGATTCGCCAAATACCTACGGTGCTTCGCGCTTGGTGATGTGAGAGCCTGGCCCGGTGAGAACTCGGAGTGCTCCGTCCCGGCTTTGTAGGGATGCGAGGTCAATGGTCTAACGACTACGGCATGCACGACTACATGAGCACACACCTCCGTCCTAAAGCCAGCTGTTCAAGAGTTGTTAAGCGCAGCTGTTATCATCTTTGAGTTAATATCGAGTTGAAATTTTCATCACCAATTCGTGCTGCATGTTGTTTTTGTCGTTGTCGTCGTTTTTCGTTGTTGTTGTTGTTGTTGTTGTTGTTGTTGATGTTGACGTTTATATTCTCTCCGGACGCCGTTGTAAGAAACAAGGTACGTTAGCATGGTCCACTACTGCAACCGGCCCTCTTCCTCGATTCTAGGCTACACACCTAGTATGCTTGTTGGTGTTGTTGTTTCGCATAGGGTTTTCAACAAACATTCGACAGCACACACACTTTGACGTGCGTCATATCACGTGTTGGCAGCAGCCAACAAAGGTTTATAGCCAGCCCACAGAAGGATGGACAGAGAAAATCAATTTCTGTCAAGGTAGACCCCCTCGATTCCGAACTGTTTTAGAGGCCCCGCCCCAGTGTGTTGTTGTGGAACATGGTCAACTTGCGCTCACCACATGTTACCCCCTCCCCCCGGGTTCCAACGCTTGTTTTCACAACAAATACTCTTTCCTCACGGGCATCACTCCGGACGGCGTTTTGGAAGGGGGCCACGCGGAGCAGGTCCGCACCTCCCAGTGGATGGGACAGGCGATGGCCACCGGCGGCGAGGATGCTAGAATCTGCTCGTGGCGTCTGCCCAGGGGTGGAGAAGACGGCAGCAACGATAAACACAACAACGATGACGACTTCATGGACGATGACAGATGACGTAGAAGGTAGCACCGCCGTGGGTAGATGCATAGTGCTGATGCCCGTCATTGGTGATGATAACAATCACCTGCAGGGTTACCGCGTCCCCGCCCTGTAGAAGGCACGTTTCGTATACATACCTGCGAATGTGCTTGATTGCGGCGAGAGCTGTCTAGGGGAGGCGAAGACATAGGTTGGGGGGCCGAGACTTAACCTTATCTTCCCCTTGTCTGACTTTTTGCCGTTGCGGCCTGACGAGCAGAGGAAGCCTCTCAGAGAAGCGTGCTTGATTTGACCGGCGCAAGTTTCTTCCGGAAGTGAGGAACCGACAAATACCACTGCTGGTTTTTGTGTGTGTATTCGCCGCAACCCGAGCTGAGAAGCAAGAAGAAAGCACCCTCCACAACCCCGGGCGTATTGTTGCCGCGGAGAGCAAGATGCTGGCTTTTTTTGTGCCTCGCTCGTGCGTGTGGTTTTTTTTTTAGAGTTCAGTTTGGCTGTCAATTTTCTTTTCGAGAGTGCGGACCCGCGAGTTTGCCAGACTAGAGACCCTGATGACGAGAGCAATTCGCATCTGCCCACTTTGGTAGGGCTCGACGGCGAGAAGATATTGAGCAATTCGTCACTTTTCTTTTTGGATCTATGTGGTCCGTGAAGTTAGCCTCGCAGTGTACCAGACACAGACAGACCCTGTACAGTAATACGACACAGAATCGTTTTCAAACTGCTGTCATTTCGCGTGCGTTTGGTTGTTTGGCAGCAACCCGCCCGAGTTAAACTGCTCGGAATGTGGTATTTGCCGCATCGGCGTTTTGCCTCACAAGACACGGTGGGAACAGTACCATTCATGTGAGCCTCGAGAACAATTGTTACAGGCAAAAAAGGGATCCCACCCGTTTTTCCAAGCGTCGGGCGTGTGACGTTTTTTCTCGTAAATACAAATGTTTCGTTTTTTTAGCCGTGAGGCGGCCGGTTCATGCTGTTGAAAGGTAGTGCCCGTGCGTCCTCCTCAGCTGGCTGACGAAGACATTGTTCCAGCAGTCGGCGCGGCGCGGAAAAAAAAACAAGTCCTGGCAAAAAAGAACGTACACCACGACCAACGGGCGGGATGCTCTCGTTGTGGCATGCTCAGCGGTAGCACTGCCTCGTCGGGATCCACTGCTGTTTGTTTCAAGAGTTGCTACCCTAGTAAGAAATGCAACTCCACCTGTGAACGGAGCGTTCGATTATTTCGCTGTTTCAAGAAGAAATCGCGATCCGCAACACCCTTACACAGAAAACCCCAAGTCCTATCATACCCTGTACTCCAATTTTCACACACCCCTCCCCTGCATACAACTGCAGGAAAATTCGCCACCGAAAACGCAAGGCAAGCGTGGACAAACTATCGTGAGCCAAATTGCACCCAAACCTTACTCAGCGGAATCCTGCCAAGCCTTAGCTTGCGCCGCTGCAGCAACCCACTCGATGGACCCGATGAAGAACATATATGATCAGTTCTGAGGAACGGACCAAGCGGTAGACCAGATAATCGACGAAGACGCCCCGCGTTAGAATATCCCTCGACGTGTATACAATTGAGGCGCCGTGCGCGACACGGGTGCACTCTAGATATCACCCACATGGAATTTTTACCGGTGCTCAAGTAAAAGGGCCGTCGTCCACCCGTTCCAACTCGGGTGGGAAGAGCCACGGGGTGGTATCAAGCCAAACATTTTTCGCCAACAAAACAAACGGGTCGAAGTCGCTACTGCAATGGGTCGCACCGACGCCAAATATGTCAACCACGCCGCTCAAACACCCCATGATGGATGCCCTGAACAAGATTCCTTGCTGCTTGCATTTTCGTCTCCGAAGGTACAGGGACCATGCCTCCCCTCTCTCCTCCTTCCTCTTGACCAGATCCTTTCGGTAAACGAACGCGACAAACCCGACATATGAAAACAAATCAATTTGAGCTTACAGCACACGGAAAACGAAGGGAGCTCTCGTGTCGCTGGTGTTCACTAGTGAACCCGACAATGCTACGCACTTTCGGCGTTGCCCGAGAAACCCGTCAGACAAAATCGTTTTACTTTGGGCCCACGGTCTGCCGTGACAGACTGCCCACATCTATCTCTGGCTCCCGCCGACGACATTCCAAAAGAAGCAGCCAAGTCTGGTTGCTACTATCACGGAAAATGATAAAGCACCACTTCAAATAGGGTCCCATGGGACCTACTTGCGGAAGGAATATATACATCGCCCCGATATCTCAAGAGTACACAGGAGCAAGCTCTATCGCAACACAACGGGCCCGAAAAGAGAAAAATAGAGGAAACCACATCAAACCTTCCACACCAGCTCGAAAATACTTCGCCCAAAATAGGGATACACTCGCACTCGTTCCTAAGCATTGCCGAGGTGAGCCGTGAAGCGGCAACCCTTCTGCAACAACATGCTCCACAAGGCGACGGTAGGGTCCCTGCACGCAAATCAAAACGAACCCTCTTTCCCATTTTCCCCGCTCTCCAGCCGACGGAGCATAGTTCGTTCAATAGAGCACCTCAGCCAAAAGCTACCAGCGTTCGTACACGCCATCACAATGAACGTCCCTACCAACTCCAGAATCCACGCAAAACCCACACCAAAATTCCGAGAGCCTCTTTGACCACCTGAAATAGTTCCGGTCGATTTCGGTCTTTGATAGTGTCAAGTTCTGCTGTTCCGTCAAAATTTGTCCCAGAGCTTACCCTATCGCTATTAAGCCGCCTGCACCCCAAATTGACACGAGCACGGATTCCAAGGAACGGGGGCGCATTACACTCCTGCCAACCTGATCGTTCCCGCCACACAAGCACCAACCCTCAGCGTTACCCCGCAACCAGCAGAGCTCCAGCAGCCGCACAAGCTGCGGGCTCTACCGCCCGCTCGCTGACCGTCCATACGTGTACGTGCAGCCAAGCCAAGTACGCCGCCTCCTCTAGCCCACCCACGAGGTCAGGATCGGTGACTTCCTCGCACGTGAAGTCCAGCCCCGGGGCTTCTCGAAGGAGAGGCACGAGGGCGTCGACGCCCCAGCGGGTGCGCGGGTGAGCCACGACGAAGTGCGCCTGCCCCCCTGTTGCCGGTGGTGGTGGTGTTGTTGGGGCTGCTGTAGGCGGTGTTGCTGTGGGTCCCGGAGCCTCGGCGAGCATCGCTCGGAGGACGCGAATAGTGCCCTCCGCGTCCGATGCCTGAGAGCACGAACCAGGAGCGGGCGAAGATCGGGCGGGGACGGGTGACACGATGCTGAGAGAGATGTGGTCGAGCATAGAGTGGAACTTACACACCTCACGTGTGATGGAGCGCTGGACAAAATCGCACCATATTTGCTTCAGTCGTTAGGTTCGATTCAACACGGTCGCCATACACCCAAAATCACTTGCAACCTATGGCGCCTTGCGTCGCGGGGATCAGCGTGGCCGGGTCACGCTGTTGTCGTGTACGGACTTCCAACAACAACAAGACACAAATCCCAGGGGTCGACATGCTGCTGCACAACGGTGGTGATAGTCTCAAAGGAACTCTGCGTACCTAGGGCAAGGAAGGCACAATGGTTACGGTGACAGCGTGAGGCGCGCAGCGGTCAATAGAGGAATTTGACCACGACAACTCAAGCAGCGTAACACAATGAGCTTGGTGCTGCTTAAAACGGCGTCTGTTGCGTCGAGCTCCGTTCGGTCAACCAAAACAGCTTTTTAATCAAGTAAACGCGGTACAAACCATGGCAAGTCTAAAAATAACACATGCTCACCTGGCAGATGTGATCCGAGGCAATGATGACGTCGAACCGCTCCCCATGCTCGATGCCCTTAACCCCACCGTCTTCGCCTCCTAGCGACACCCCATTTAAACAACCGTCCCTCGGGAAGCACGACTCCGCGGCGTAACTGCTGGGCTCGCTGTTGTCAAAACTGCCGCTGTCGGCATCGTCTCTAGGCTGGGACTCAGCGGCTTGAGTACGGCCACCCCCAAGTTCAACAACAGTGCACGACCGGCAGCTGTCCGCGCCGACCCCCGGCACGCCCTCTAGCTTGTCCCAGTCGAGGTGTCGCACGTGCACCGTTCCATGTTCGACGGTTGCCTCTTTCGCCTCTCCCCTTCGATCATGTTTGGCCCGCACGCCACCATTCTCTTCGTCGCAATTCGAGGCATCCCGCCGAACACCGCAAGACACCCCCCCGTCCGCCGCAATACCGCTATCAGGCGAGTTGAGAGCCACGTTAGCCTCCAGAGCCCTCAAAACCAGGGGGTTGAAATCGCTTCAAGGTAACCGATGCTGCAGCGGCTACATCGCTACGGCTGCCCACGACAGTTCCGCGGCTAGAGCAAGGAAGCCCCGCCAACGAGGCGTTCGACGCCGAGGAGGGCGCCTGCTGGATGCGTGCGGCCACGAGCCCAGCCAAGCCAAGACCGGCCCCTATCTCGAGCACGCGCCGACCACGGACTAAGCTAGGGTTTCGGCACAGGAGCCGAGAGAGGATGATTGCGGCCGGCCACATAACGAACCCGACGTCACACTGACTGTGCTGACGCTGCTTCACTGGTCGGACCAAAACTGAAATTCGTTCTCCGTCTCCACCCACCTCGCTGGCGCCAAAATCCCCACCTTCAGCAGTGCCCACAGCACTAGATGGCTGGGTTTCGTGCAGCTTATCAGCGTGGTCGATGACAAAAATGTACTGCAGCGGGAACCTTCCGAGCCCCGACGATCCCTCCCTGCCCAACATCTTGCGCATGGGGAAAGCTGATCCGGAAGACACCACCTGAGCTGCAACAAAGGCGGTCGCGGACTGCACTTCATCCTCATCCTCATCGTCGTCTTCCTCTTGCCCCCTCCCGCTATCACAGCGCGCGCCGGCGTCATGTACACCTGGCTTCCCCTGGCTCCCAGCTTGGTCGACATCGCCAGTTCTCGACGGCTGCTCCTGCTGCTGCTTAATCTTGGTGGACGCCCCCGGCGAGCGGCGGCGCGGGTGTCCGGCGGTGTTCCCTTCTGTCATCAGGCGGAGAATGTTCTGGTGTCCACCGGCCAACCCAAGACGCTCGGAACACCCCAGCTCTCGGCAGAGCTTTCCCAAGGCCAGGAGGCACCTGATGCCCAACGTGACGGCCGCATCGCTTGCAGTCGGGCGAAGGTTGGCGACGGCCACGGCGTGCAGACTGTCGACGCCTTCCTCACCGCCAGGCAACAGACCTAGCTCAAGCTGATTCCGCGGCGTGAGACGAGCGGGAGGCTCTATTGCACCCAAGAGCTGGAGGACACCAACAGGGCACCGCTGCTCAACAATTGCGGTGGGATGGGGAACGTGAGGGTTTGAAACCCAGAAGATTACAGAGACAGAGGCGTTGAAATCTTAGTTTTAAGAGGAGCGGAAGATGAAATATCTGTTGGCCAATCAGAGAGCAGCAGCATTGAGTCAGCGTGAAAGTGTCTGAAACCTGACTAGAAGGGTAGACTTGGGGGCACTTGTTGGTCTGCCCCAAGGAAGCACGA